TTTGAACGCATCATCCGTAGACAGTATGCGATGGTACGAATTAATCGCGTATAGGATGAAAATCCTTTAAAAATGTCGTCGGAATGGGTCTGTGATATTAAACAAACGGCCTTCTTCAAGCCGGGTAATTCCTTAATGGGAATTTCAATACTCGTAGGCCAAGTCGCTTCGGACTGTCTGAGCCATAATGGACCGTTAAACCAAGATTCGTTTTTCAAGAATTCTCGCGGAAGTTGACTTCGCGATAACGCGTCGGCTGGGTTGTTTTCCGATCGAACATGCCGCCACTCTAATTCATCCCCAACGTCCTGAATTTCCTTGACGCGATTCGCTTCGAATACTTTAAGTATATTTGGAGATTTTCTCAGCCAATGTAAGACGATCATGGAGTCGGTCCAAAAGACGACTTTACTCGGTTTAAAAGTAAAAACCGTGGAGACTTCGCGATACAAACGCGTGAGGGTCAGGGCACCACAAAGTTCGAGTCGCGGTATGGTCGTGTCTTTAAGAGGCGCGACGCGTGTCTTGGCGCAACAGAGTCTTACGATCGTATCGCCTTGTTTGTTGCAAGATCGCACGTACAAACAGGCTCCGTAACCGATTTTACTCGCGTCGCAAAAGCCATGAATCTGAACTTCCATGAAATTTTCAATCATTAGACGACGGTCAATGGTCAAATGATCAATTAACTCGAGTTGTTCTATGAATGTTAGCCACGAGGAATGTAACGCGCTGGGTACGGATTCGTCCCATGAGATTTTTGTTCTCCAACACTCCTGCATTAATACCTTTGACGCAAGGATGATAGGGCCGAGCAGCCCGAGGGGGTCAAAGATTTTGGCTATTTCGGATAAAATGTGACGCTTGGAAACTCTATCGTTTATCTTGATAGGTTTAACCGTGTAAAGTAATTCATCGCGACGCGCATTCCATGCAATACCTAGCGTTTTTAGAATCGGATTTTCGTTGGTGAGGAATTCTATGTCTAACGTTCGTTCGCTTAGGTTTTCGAGGGCCTTCGGATGGGTCGAAGCCCATTGTCGAATATGGAAACCGCCGCGTTTCAGAATTTCTATGGTCTCGTCGCGAATTTGCAAGAGTTTCTTTAGTGTATCCGCGCCTGTTAAAAGGTCGTCTACGTATAGGTCGCGTTTCAGAATCTCCGCGCCGACGGGAAAGTCTTTACTCTCGTCATTCGCAAGTTGTTGCACCGTGCGGATGGCTAAAAAGGGAGCCGATGATATGCCGAAAGTAACGGTATTGAGTTGAAAGGTGCGGACGCGATTTTCGTGATACCAAAAAGTTTTTTGATATTGTCGATCGTTGGGATGTATCCAGATTTGCCGATACATTTTTTCGATGTCGGCAGTAAGTACGTATCTATGCGTGCGAAATCGTATCAGATGTTTAAACAATTTACTCTGAATCGTGGGGCCGACCATCAACGTATCGTTCAGTGATATCCCCCTGTTGGTTTTCGCCGATGCGTCAAAAACGACTCTTACTTTAGTCGTGGTACTTGTGGATTTTGTGACTGCGTGGTGGGGAAGATAACATCCGCCCTCTGCCTCGTCTGAAGTTAATGACATGTGGCCTAACTCAATATATTCTTTCATTATGTGCTCGTACTCTCGTTTGAGTATCGGATTGGCATCGAGCTTCTTCTGAAGCCCGTAAAACCGACGCAACGCGATCGCGTGTGAGTTTCCGAATTCTCGTTCCGCTAGACGGAACGGTAGCCGTACGATATAGCGCCCGGAATTATCGCGTGTTAGGTTCTGCGCATAATGACGTTCGCATTCGGATTCCTCCGGTAGGCCAAATTGTTTCGCGGTCGTGTCTTCTAACAACCAAAATTTCGCGATTTGATCCTTCAGTTCCGTTAGTTTGCATGAGACCCTTCCCCCTCCTTCGGGGGAAGCTATCCCGCCGACGACGGCCCAGCCGAGCTGCGTCTTTTGTAAAAATAAATCACTTTTATCTTGTGAAAGATTGATCTGTCCGATCGATAGCAGGGATAGAGTAGCGCCGGATCCGATAATTATATCGACCGATCGCGGTAAATGAAATTGTGGGTCTGCTAGTTTCAAATTCGAAGGTATATTAATAGTCTCGCGCGGAAACGTCGCGCTTGGAACTCTTTCCGCGATTTTCGGAACTATTAAAAATAAAAGTTTCTTATTAAAATTATTGTGAATCGAGTAGAAGGACAATTCGATCGCGCCGTGAGACGTCGTGTGCATATCGTCGATCGCGCCGACTGAAATAGAGCACGGGTGTATCGGCAGCCCGGTGCTGCGAGCAAACTGTTCCGTCACGAAGTGCGCCGTGGCGCAGGTATCTAACAGCGCGCGGCATTGTACGAAATTTCCATTAACGCCCTTAACACGAACAACCGCGCTCATCATCAATTGCGACAATGGGTCCCGCGTCAATGCGTTCAGAAGACGGGCCGAGCCTAGTCAATCCGATACAAACGGCGCCGCCGATGATTGTTTCGGGGAACTCTCAATTTCTACCTTCGCCGCGTCTTGTTTCGAGGAACGTGACTCGGCCAAATGATTGTGCAAAAGCGTATTCCGTGATTTGTTGCAAATCTTGCACGGCGGCAACCTGCAGCGGCCGTCGTGTGAGCGCAGGCAGTTGAAGCAGATTTTAGATTTCCTCACGAAATCCCACCTACGCGGCATTGTTAACTTTGCAAATTCGGGACATCTGTATAAAAAGTGTCTCTCCTTTTTGCACAGCGGGCAATTGGAGTAAGTATTTGTGACTAGAGCGCGCGCGCCGGAATCGTCCTTACGTGCCTTAAACGACGGTGTGCCCCCCCTCGATGCGGACCGCTTATTGCCGCTCTCTGTTCTAGAACGCGACGCGTCGTGCTCGAGTGCGAAGATGCGGAACGCCGTTTCCGATATGAATTTATATAGTTGATCGAGGGTCGGCAATACATCTAAGTTGAGAGTCTCTTCCCATTTAACGCGGATATTCGTGGGTAACGCTCGCTCGATTATACGAATCAATAAGTGTTGATCCGGGTTCACGTCTAGCGAAGCCAGCATATTCACGTGTTGTCGCACATCGTCGACGAGTCCCGTTAAACCCTTGTGTGTGGCTTTACTTTGATGCGGTAGTTCAATAATCGCGTCCAGATGTTTCGTGATCAAAATTCGTTTTCTCTCGTAGGAGTCTTTAAGAAGCTTCCATGCGGTTTCATAATTTTCCTCGCTCACGTTATAAATCGAGATCTTATTCAACGCGTCGCCTTGTAATGAATTTTTTAAATATAGGAACTTTTGCAAGTTCGTTATGTCCTGGCGTGAATCAATCATAGTCACGAACGTGTTCTTGTACGATAACCATTTCTCGATGTCGCCATCGAATTTCGGCAATTCTGCGACGGGCAATTTGATACGACGCGTGTTATTGTCAATTGGTATCGACGTTGCGTTCAGGTCGACCGCTCGCGATGTCGAGGCTTGCGAAAATGACTCGAACTTACTCGCGATCGCGTAGTACCGATCCTGAATGTCGCTAAACTCGTCCAAGTGCTCGTCCGTCGGTTCCAACGTGGCGAGTTCGTCGTGTAGATCCTCGTACGCGTGAAAAAGCTCGGTTATACGTTTCAATCGCATCCTCATATTCGCGTCGTCTACTCGTCCATCCGCGAGAATTTTCTCGAAGTTAGTTAATTGCGCCTTTAGCGTCGAGCGCTTTTGATGGATATACTCGGGCGGTTCATAATGAATGTCGGTATTGTCCCGATAAATTAACGAATCTGTTATGTTATCCCTGAAGCGCGTCGGCGAATGTTTGATGCCGCGTAACCGCCAAATATCGGGCATCGATCGTCGGACCCCTCGTGCCCACGGCCCCCCTCCCCCTTCTCCCGACGTCGTCGCCGAGTCGGCGCGGTGAGCAAAGGGAGAGCAAAAAAAATAAACAAGTCAGGCGTTGGCAATTTTTTCCGAAAACAAGTCTGATCGTGTTCGAACACGTTTCAACGCGTCCCGGACGCGTACAAGGAAATCGCAATTGCGGCGACCGTTACTGGTCTTTTTCCACATGCACATATAATAATCGTAGGGCGAATATCTCCCCACACACACAGTCAATTATGGCAAATTACCTCAATCTCAGGACAGAACGTATGAAACTGATGAAATGAATGCAAGCAATATTAATAGTTGTAAACACAAGAATTAAGTCTTGAATACAGAGACCTCATCGCTATACTGTCCTTTACTGAGAATAAACTCTATGCATAAGAAAAGATATGTATTAAGAAAAAGTACTTAAATTTGGACCTCGTTGACCCTCTGCAACGGCCGGTTGGGCTGGGCGATGTGGTCCCCGGAGACGACGGCGGCGCGGTCTGAGCGTCCTTGTCCTCGTCGGATATTCTCACCGTAGCGCAGGTTCGCGCCTTCATACCTCACAGGAGGCACCAAAACTGTAGCGTCGAAATCTCTCCAACATGGAGAGATTCCGTGGTTCGTATGACCCGGTAAGGTATGAGGGATATGAGTAAAGGAGACGTTAATTGAGCTTCAAGGATGATACCTTTATTAGCTCTTGGGGAAAAGCCTTGCGGCATAAAAACCCCTCAAATATGATAATCCAGTACAATGAGTGTCACAATCAGGTATATCGATAGCGTCAGGGCCCTGCGCGTGAGAATCGTTTATTCGTGTTACCGCACAAGGCGTAGGGCATAGCCCGCGAGACACGACTCGCCACGAGACTAAGCTCGGTCCGAGAACAAGTTCGGTATTATTCGTGTTACCGCACAAGGCGTAGGGCATAGCCCGCGAGACACGACTCGCCACGAGACTAAGCTCGGATATTAATGAGTGACCGAAGTCATTTCGCGGATGCGCGAATCGATGACGGTGAGCAAAGCAAATCGCGTGATTTTACGTTAACCGGATTAATCGGGTATCCGTAGTTATCGAACCGCGATCTCCGTCGAATTATGCGCAACGAACTCGTCACTGATTCGGACCACCGATGACTCGTGTCGACTGAACGATAAGTTACTCGCGTATCGAGAGGTTTTCCGGACTGACCTGTTCCGATGGAATATTCGGACTGACGATCTCGCGGATCCCCTCTATTAGCGGAAAAACGGCGGCTCGTACCGCCGCCCCCCGCTACGGGCCCACGACGGTAGCGCGGGCCCTCGACGAAATCGCGAAGGTCGCGCCCACTTACTACGCGCGAAAATGCGCGAAATTCAAATTTGGTAAAGGAGCAAAATCGATCTTCCGTCCACGGAACATTATCCCAATGTCCAAATGCATCGCCATATTGTGTCCCTGAGCAGCGGCCTTCTCTGTCGTTTGATCCGGCCAAAGTAACAGGCCGGATGGTCGTGGTGTTGACCTTTATTCCCGTTATAGGTCCGCTTGTCTGGCTCAGCATGAGGATTTCAGTTTGTTGTAGAGTTCGGCAGGCCTCGGCAGAAATTTGGTGTATTTATTCATATTGGCCGTCGAATACTGCGGAGATGTGTGAGTGCATTCCGCAATAGAATATGGTTCGATCGATTTCAATTTTGCACTGGTAGCCTTGGGTGTGATCGAATTCTGTAAGTTGCAGGAGCTGTACGTAGGTTTCTTCGTCAAGGGGTTCGATATCGTGTAAATTGCAGTCCCCGATGTCTGTGAGTGATAGTGTAGTCACGTTCAGGCTTTCTCCTCGGCAGTCATATCCAATTAGGGCATGGCCACTCGTCCGCAGGAAGGGAAGGAGGGCGATTATGAAGACGATCATGTTGCTTCCTGTTGAGGCTTGATACTGAGCTGCCGGGCCTTGTGCTGCTGCATTTATAGGGGCCGTTTGATTCGAGGGGTGGGGGTAAGTTGCCGAAGAAGGGGCTTACCTGGCTATCTTTAGTTTATCGCTATGTACAATTCGTATCTTATTTCCTATCTTAAGTTTTACATTATTATTCGACAAGATTTCTAAGATTTCGTAGGGGCCTACGTATTGGTTACCTAATTTACCCTTCTGGGGTTTTTTCAGTAAATACACATTATCATTAGTCTTAAAATTATAAATGTTTTTCCTCTTGTCATAATTCTGCTTCGATGTTTCCTTCGCGTTAATTAAATTCGTGCGCGCTGTTTCCTGCACATCACGTAGTTTTTGGAAGAGATTTGTGAGATATTCCGTATAGAGAGGTTTCATTATCATCCTCGTCGATAGGAGGATCACTTGAGGGAGCTCGCGCAGTTTTCCCAAAAACCAACTCGTGAGGTGTGTGGGAGGTTCCTTCATGAACGCTAGTGTTATAAGAGAACGTGGCAAGTTTCAGGTAAGTATCCCATTCTCTATTTTGGTCGGTGAATTGTTTCAGATATTCCCACAGAACGTGGTGAGACCTTTCTATAGATCCGTTAGATTGGGGTCTATAGGCGGTAGTTTTATAATGAATGATATGAAACTTTCGCGCAATACTACGCATTAATGAGTTTAGAAAATGGGTGCCCTGGTCAGTAAGCCATGCTTTTGGGGCCCCGAAAATGCATATAAATTCGTTCGTGAACGCGTCGGCTACATCTATCGCGTCGGCTTATTTGAGAGGGATGGCTAGGGAGTATTTCGTTAGGAGGTCTTGGATAGTGAGTATGTATGTATTTCCGGTCCTTGTCGTGGGTAATGGTCCCATTATATCCATGGAGATTTTATCAAATGCCGCACCTGGTGTATCAGTCAAAACCATGGGTTGTTTGGTCTTGACTCTCACTAGTTTCTTTAATTTCGGCAACTACGGACAAACTCTCGTACGTCCTCCTTCATTCCTTGTCAATAATAACGCTCCTTGAGTCGCTTGTAAGTCTTGGTTACGCCTTTGTGTCCTCCGACTACTGAACCATGGAGTTCTTCCAAAATCCTGCGTCTGTCGGCGCCCTGAGGTAAGTTGATTTCATTCCGGCAGAGTAAAATTTTCGTCGGATGTCCCTGGAAGGCTTCTTCCCATTTCTTTCTTAGCACGGATCCTGGCACACCGTCGATGTCTCCTTTGCAAAGAGAGATCGTGGCTAGTTCAAGCTCCGTACAAACATCTAGTAAAGAAGCGATTGCTTCTGACACGTTTTTGTTTCTGCTTATGTCGGATACGTGTGTTTTGATCGGTAAAGCGATGATTTTCGTCTTTCCGTCGGCTAATACTCGAGCACGGTCGATCATGGAACTGGTGATTCGTGGAAGTCGTCCTTCTCTCTCGAGTATCCTGCTTCCTGGGTCGCAAGGCGCTCCTTCCTCGGTGATAAATACAACCAGGTTATCCCGTCGGGCTAGGAAATGGTCCTTGATGATAGTTACGTAAGCCTTGGTTTGGCGAGTCTGCATGAAGGGCTCATTGGGGTTGTCGAAAATTTCGTCGTCGGAGCTGCTAGTTTCGGAGTCGTTTACTCCAGGGTCGTTGCTGCTTACATCGTCTCGTACGTTATCGGCTTCCTGTGGTTCATCTTCTCCCGCTGGGGAACTGAGGGGTTCGGTTTCATTGGGGCAGTTTCGGGGTCGTTTGGAGGAAAATAATGAATCGTCGGAGTCAGAACTTGGTTGATTTTGTTGTTGTCTCAGGGGTAGGATTTGTTGGGGTGGTGGGTTCCTGGACAATGCGTCGGCGTTCACGTTCAATTTTTCCGCTTTATAGATTATATCGTATTTGTATTCTAATAGTTTCAACCGCCACCGAGTCAACCGAGAAGTAGGATCTTTTACAGAGTTTTATAGCCATACAAGCAGCTTATGGTCCGTGACCAGCTTAAAATTTACGACCGTACAGATATGGCCTGAAATGATGTACGCAGTAAACTATTGCCAGGAGTTCTTTCTCTATGGTGGAGTTGTTTTTTCTGGCTTATTCAGTAATCGCGAGGTATATGCTATTGGTAAATCTCGCCCTATTTTACCTTGACTTAAAATTCCTCCGACAGCAAAACCTGAGGCGTCCGTAGTGACTACAAAAGGTTTAGTAGAGTCGGGGTACTGTAGTATAGGTTCTGCGCACAAGGTGTTTCGTAATGAGACAAACGCGGTTTTTTGAGGGGTAGCCCACGTAAATGGGATGTCGCGTTTTAGTAACTCGGTCAAAGGTTTGGCTGTCTTAGAGAAATTGGGTATAAAACGGCGGTAGTATCCGGCCAGTCCTAAGAATTGTTTAATGTTTTTTGCATTTCTAGATTGTGGGAATTTTTCAACTGCTTCCTGGGATCTGGTCGCACGCCACCCTCGCTAATTATGTGTCCCAGATAGGTGACTTCTTTACGCAGGAATTCATACTTATCCGGTTGGAGTCGCAATCCTGCCTGTCGGAGGCGCTCTGCCAACTTAGTGAATTTAATACTATGTTCGCGGAGCGAGCTGGCGTATATGATGATATCGTTGAGATAGACGAACAGTTCCGCGCCCTGTAATCCGGACAAGACTAGATTCATGAGTCTCTGGAAGGTCGCGGGGGCGTTTTTCAGTCCGAAAGGCATGCGTTTAAACTCGTAATGTCCATACGGGGTCGAGAAGGCTGTTTTGTGCGCGTGAGACTCGTGCATCCTGATCTGGTGGAAGCCGGAGGCTAGGTCGAAGACGCTGAAATATTTAGCGCTTCCGAGTTGATCGAGTATCTCGACGATGTTTGGAAGGGAATAAGCATCGCCTATGGTTTTTTCATTAAGACCACGGTAATCTATTACCATGCGCCAACGCTTATTCCCTATTGAATCCGGTTTCTTGGGTACTATCCATAAGGGTGAATTGTAAGGAGATGTCGACGGTTCTATCACGTCGTCTTGTAGTAATTCTTGAACTTGTTTATTAATTTCCTCCTTATGGATAGGCG